CTTCTAGAACAAATTACACTCTAACGCAGACTCCTAGATTATTAAGGATTTATTTATTTGCATCAGGTACAATTACATTTCTTACAACACGCTATCAATCGGTGACTTTTTCATATGAGGATTTCTTCTTGAATTTCTCCATATTTAAAGCAGTGATTTTAAACTACTTGAATATCTTCCTCAGAAAAACATTGCTCTCTGCTTCACTGAATTAAACAGGGAATTAACTGCCTCTTACTGGGTTGGAAAAGACCTCATTAACCAAATAAAATGCATGGGATTTGTTGGATCCTGTTAGACCAAATGCAAAAGATTTAATGAGACAACAGGAAAATTTGAATTGTGTAGTTATCAAATGACAGTAAGAAAATTTGGGGAGATAGAATAAATGGTATTATGGATATGTTTAAAAAACTGTTATCTTGGCGGGGCACAGTGGCTCATGCCTGTAATCCCAGCACTCTGGGAGGCCGAGGTGGGCAGATCACTGGAGGTCAGGAGTTCGACACTGGCCTGATCAACATCGTGAAACCCCGTCTCTACTAAAAATACAAAATTAGCTGGGCATGGTGGCACACGCCAGTCATCTCAGCTACTTGGGAGGCTGATGCAGGAGAATCGCTTGAACCTGGGAGGCGGAGGTTGCAATGAGCCAAGATTGCCCCATTGCACTCCAGCCTGGGCGACAAAAGCAAATTTCCGTCTCAAAAACAAGCAAACAAAAAACAACTGTTATATTTTACCTATTCGTATTTAAAGTATTTGCAGATAAAATGATAAAAATCCAGCAAGAGTGAAGGAGTGTGAAGGGACGTTGCTAAATGTTGAAGCTGGGTAAACAGTATATGAGGATTTATTGTACTATTACTTTTGCCTTTGTTTGAAAATGTCCATAAAAGTTTAAAAATATTAAAAAGTAGAAAAAAGAAAAGGATTTCATTTATTTGGCCTGACTCAAACAGAAGCTGAATTTTCTCAGCAGTCTTCTTTAGGAATCTTTCACAATTACTTGCCAGTTTGTTTTCAATCAGTTTGAAGTTGTTGCTCTCCCCAAGAGACAGGTACGGAGGCATACACAGTCCCTGCCAGGGACCTCTTAAAGTCACTGACTTAGAAATTCAAGGTAATCCCAGACTAATTTAGGGAGATCAGTTACTTATTTATTTATTTTTTTTTAGGGTTGCTTTGTGGTAGATAATACACTGTGGAGCAAAGAAAATGCCTTTTTGCTTTATTCACAGGATTAAATACCATAAATTAATTTCTAGTTGCTGAGAACGGGAGATTTTAAATTTTGCATTTAGAAGACAAGAAATTCAATCTGAAGAGACCCCATATTTCCAGTTAAGTGACCATTCAGAAGGGAAGGACAGTGCTCAATAATCAAGGTCAAGGGTTTAGGGATTGTGGCGATTTTTTTTTTTCCCCACTGAAGTGTTCTCCCCACACAGGCTGCTTTCGCAGGGTGGCAGTAGAATAAGCCTTCGATTAACCTTTTAAATATGGCAAGAAAAGCATGTCTAAAATAATTCATATATATACATATATGATCATACTACAGTGTTTTATAGTTTTAGATCAGTACCAGCTAAAATATTCTTTGGATTTTTTTGCTTTTTTCCAGCCTGTTCAACAGAATTATAAAAGGTGAAAATAATGCTATAAAATGTCTCCTATCCCATGCTCATCCCTCCTATCACCTTGCTCTGTTTCCGGAGTACTGTAGGTATTCTGCATCTTTGCCTTTTTCCCAATTTAGTTTCTAAACACTTCTCTTATCTACCTGCAGATCACTTATCAGACTCAATAAAATCCATTGGTACATTCGGTGTTTGACCTGTAACAAGGCACCCCACAGTATTTTGGGCCTTTGATAAAGACCATCTTATTCAAATTTGTGAGAAAACAAAAATAGTAGAGTTCAAGTAAAAACCAGTAAAATTCAGTTCTTCACAGTGGCCGTTTTTTGACGAGACCCGGCCGAAAGGTTTAAAGAACAGTAAAATCCCCAAATGTTCTCAGAAATACTATACATTGTACTGTCTGGGTTCACTTAATACTGGCCCAAACCTCAGTGTCCTAGGATAATAACCCAAGATGATTTCCCAGTCCTTTGAAATAGCTGACGTCCTATGACGTCAAATTGCCTGGAGTGCTTTATTTTGGTTTGAAATTTAAAATTTCCTCTAGATAAAGATCTAGATTTCTCTTTGCAAGTCAAAAGCTAGTTACTATTAACAGCTGTTTCAAAAGTGCTCTAAATAGGTCACCATTCAGGTGTACCAACGCTGCAAACTGGATCTAAGAAGATCCAAATTTGTCACCACTCACATTTTCTTTTTAACTCAAAGGTAGTACTCACAATAGGGCTTGTTTACATAGGCATTCCATTAAAATTCTCCATGCATTCATTCTATTTGCACCCATTTCTTTCAAAAAAGTCCATCTGAAATTAAAATCATTTCCTCTGCTTGGCATCTCGTTTACACTACACCGAAATTAAACCCCACTAGGAGATCACGTAGATTACGGGGCCGAGGGCCCGCCCGCTGACTAGGTTTTTACTCGCGTCTGCATGCCCCAGGTCCCCTCCGATTGTAGTCCTGGGGCAGGACCGAGCAAAAAGTCCCGTAAAGCTGGCGTGTGCCCCACTCCGCCAGGAAGCCCCGCCGACGTCCTGTGTTTAAATGTTCTGACACACCCCAAACGCAGTTGTTTTTAAAGGCTGTCTGTGGGACCTATGCGTTGGCAGGCAGATGCCGTCCCGCATCCCTTCCCCCTAAATGACACAGAAGATTCCAGCGCAGGGGAAGGGCCACGAAACCCGCAGGGCACACGACGCCGGGGGCCGGAGGAAGCACCGCCTACCTCCCCGGTCAGCCCCGCGGTGCCGGACGAGCCCGAGGGCCCGGCAGGAGGCGGGCGGCAGCCCCAGGCGAGCTCGGAGGCGGCGGGAACGCCTTGCCGCGCATGCCGGGAGCCGCCCGCTGCCTGCCGCCCGCCGCCCGCCGGGACGCGAAGTCCTGCAGGCCTCGCTCCGGGTCGTCCAAAAAATAGGAACCGCCTGCTGCTCCTTTGCAGGCTCGCGAGGAGCCGCACTCGGACCGCCGGATGGGTAAAAAGCCGGTGTGGCCGGGCGGAGCTGCCCCTCCCCGCGGGGAGGGCGGCCGGAAGGACCGAGCCGCCTCCCCTGCCGGGTCCCATTCAGACGCGGGGCACAGAGACTGGCTCCCCAGGCTTCTCCTTTAAGGGGGGCGGGGCGCGGCCTGCCGTTTGGCCGCCCCCGACACCCTCCCCCCTAGCCCGGAGCCGGCAGACCAATCGCCCGGGCGGCAAAGCGAAGGCGGGAGAATGCGAACCCTCCGGTAGGCGGTAGGGGCGGGCCCCGGCCTTATTCGGATCGAGCGCTGCGCAGGCGCAGAGGCGGCCGCGGGCGGAGGGGCGGGGGCAGGCCAGCGGGAGGCTCCCCGTCAGGCACGGAGGGTGACTGGGGACAGGCAGGCGGCGACGGGCTTGTCATGGGGATCCGGGCTGCGAGACGGCACTGGTAGCATCTGGGGACTCCGAGGGGGACAGGAAGTGTCAGCGTCCGGGACCCCGGCGCCGGCCCCGCCGAGGGGATCCCCACTGCTCCGGTCCTGGAGCGGGAGGGGAGAAAGGAGGGAGCCCCAGTTTCGCCCCGCCCCTGGGCTGGTGCTGCGGGGGCGGGGAGTGAGGGCTGCTCTGAGGGGAGTGGAGATCGGGGAGCGCGGCCGTGCCCTCTCGAGCGGCTGCGGGGTCCCCGCGGCGCCGGGCTGCTGAGCTGAGGGACCGCGGCGGCCGCGGCCGGTGCATGTGCGGCTGCTGGATGCGGAGGCGGCGGCGACGGCGCGGATCGGCAGGATGTTAGGGCAGCAGCAGCAGCAACTGTACTCGTCGGCCGCGCTCCTGACCGGGGAGCGGAGCCGGCTGCTCACCTGCTACGTGCAGGACTACCTTGAGTGCGTGGAGTCGCTGCCCCACGACATGCAGAGGAACGTGTCTGTGCTGCGAGAGCTGGACAACAAATATCAAGGTAGGGGCCGCGGGGCTGCCGGCCTCGGGAGCCGGTGGCAGGGAGCCTGCCGGGGCAGTGCCACCTTCCCTTTCTCCCCTGACAGTCTCCCCGAGCCCACCGAGGGTCTGCCGAGCGGGACGGGGAGGACTGGAGACTGGGTTCGCGGCCCTCCTTGCCCCGCGGTGGGCGAGTACTTCTCTGGGGTCCCCGGAGTGGGGGTGGGGGCTGTTCGTCAGCCCCCGCTGCAGACCCAGCGGCTGCAGCTGCCGCGGAGGGGAATCAGCCATTTTAAGCAGCAAGCATTTGTTCAGGCGCTCGCCTGCCCCGTGCCGCAGACCCTGCCGCCCCGGCCCAGGACTGCAGGAGGGAGTGAGCGGCCGGGCTCCCGCTGGTCTGCGGGGCGCACTTCCCCACCTCACTCGCCCCCACCCAGGAGTGCGGGTGCTTTGGAACGTGCGGGAGGGAGGGGGCGAGAGGCCGCGGAGGCAGATTGAGGGGGCCTTCCTCCGCGCTCCTACCCCGGTCGGGAGGATAGCAGTCCGTTCCGCTCTCTTGCCCCGGGAAAGTTCTCGGCCGCCCCGAGCCGCAGCCCTAGCCCAGCTCTTTCGGCAAAATGGTTAAGAGGGGAGGGGTCCCCCGCGGGAGAGGAAGAGAGGGGCGTGTGTGGCGGGGAGGGCCCCCGCGCCGGGGGCGGGGCCTGCGGGTGTGACGTGGGGAGTGGGAGGGGCGCGGCGCGCGTTCCCGCGGGCCTGGAAAATGGCTGGTTGCGAGAGGGGCGGCGGCGAGCCAGCTGCTGGGGAGGGAGTCGAGGCTGTGTGAGGGCGTTGGTTCGGCCCCAGCGGAGTCCGAGTCGGGGTTTGCAGCATGTTTTGCGGTGATGTTTCCAATCTCTTTCCCAACTAATGGATCAGGACGGAGATTAGCAGCTCAGAGGGTCTCGGACCCTGGCTCCGCGTAGGTTCCGGGACATGTGTCACTTCCGGGCTTCAGGAGGAAGTGGGTTGGTTGACTGGGCAACCGCCTGGCGTCCCCAAGCCCCTCCTTCTCCGACTTTTAAGTGTTAAGGCGAAACCACCCTTTACGGGCCGACCCGGGAAGAATCGACCTTCCTTACAGTGTTATCACCTACTATCGGTGGTGCTACTAGGAGGGCAGTTTAAAAGGGGAAATGTGTTGCGCTTAATAACCTTGAATCGAGGAACAGACCTTGAACATACTATGGAAACAGCCATATGAACTTTAAAGATAATTTCCTGGACCCATTCTCTGTTTTTGTAAACACGTCAGTAATCCTATTAAAAGTCTCTAAAGGAATCCACTTCTTGGGTGACATAAGTGTCTCTGATTTTTTTTTTAGTTGATAAATTTGTGTTTTCTGAATCCATGGGATTCATAGGACTGATCCGTGTTTGGGGGAGGGAATTCAAACTGATGCCCTGAGTCCAGACCATTATATAAATATTTCTTTTACAGATTAGAAAGAGTTTAAGTAACTTGTCCAGTTAATTAGATGTAGAATATTTGGCTCCAGCTCCTGCAACTTTAGATGCATATCCTTGTTTTCAAACAATTTAAATTTTAATAAAAACTGTCCAAGGGGATTTCTGCAGATATGGAACACAAACATGAATGGTAACCTAAAAATGATACGTGCTTAATAATTGTATATTGAACCTTTCTAGTTTTTCAAATAACACTAAAGTTTGTAAAGTTTGCAGTTGCTGTTGTTGTTGTTGTTGCTTCAGACAGAGTCTTGCTGTGTCCCCTAGGCTGGAGTACAGTGGCTCTATCTTGGCTCACTACAGCCTCTGCCTCCCGGGTTCAAACGATTCTCCTGCCTCAGCCTCCCGAGTAGCTGGGATTACAGGCACCTGCCATCACGCCCCGCTAAGTTTTGTATTTTTAGTAGATACGGAGTTTCACTATGTTGGCCAGGCTGGTCTTGAACTCCTGACCTGAGGTGATCCGCCCGCCTCTGCCCCACAAAGTGCTGGATTACAGGCGTGAGCCACCGCGCCCAGCAAGCTTGCAGGTTTTTACATTTCTTTGAAGACACATGTTTCCTTTCACAAGACTTAAGCTATTTGAAGTTAGTAAGGGATACTATAATTTGTTGACAGGGAAATCTGCTTTTGGATCATCTATAATTGTGATGTATTAATAGCTCTGGTAAGATTAGTAATATAGTAGGCCTTACAAGGCTAAGAGATTATAAAAATTCTTAGCTCCATGAAGATTGTGATTAATGATTAAAAACTCATCCAGTTTTCACTCTTTGCGCATGGTTACTGAGCTCAACTTTCAGTTTTATGTTTATATATATTTTGTGTTTCGGATTCAGATTTCATGTTTTTTATTTCTTCACTAATGCTTAAGTCTTTTCTGGTTTTGGATCTAATATTTCTAGCAATATTTAGTGATATAAATCATATAGGCAGTCAAATAAATTTCTCACTTACTTGAGACACTTTCAGAACTGCTGAAAACCTTATAAAGATGAGAAATAAAGAAGAAAACAATTTCACAATTGAAGTACTTATTATGGGATAGGGTTATTAGAGAACCTTTATTTTTGTTCTAGTGTTCTCACTCATTTCTTCGATAAATAACAACCTTCAAACTAAAATTTGATACTTAATTTCAAGTGCCTTCATATAGTTTATAGAAAGTGCTTACACTGCTAGGTCAGACATACACAGATCTGGCACAGTTCAAAGTCTGGGGTTCTTATCTCTTGAGTTGCAGTTTTTTTCACAAGCAGAAGTGATGGCTTCCTCATGGGGTTGCTGTGGAGATTAACTGAGAAAATCTTTACCACATAGAAGGGGCTGAGTAAATGTTAAATTTCTTGTCTTTCACTATATAAAAAGGTGTCTTAAAAATTTTTGTATCTCATCTATCAGTGTGCTGGTGTGATATATACTGTAATTAGCCTCTAACACCTGATTATTAGGTACAGAATATTTGAAATGAGGTTTCCCTCTTTTTTTTTAATCCTCAATTTTTTTATGTGTCTGAGGGAACCAGTTTCCTTATTTTTCCTGTAGGGAAATGAGGTTCTTAAGAAATCTGCTTAGATGCCTAGCTAAGCAAATGGAATATACATGAACTTTGTTCAAAAATATGCTATGTGGGCATAAGTGCTGTTAACCGTGTGGTGGCACTTTGTTATGTATTCCAGGTTGTACATCAAGTATGAGTACCTGCGATTTCCAGGGAGAAGCTAATTAATGAGTTCTGTTGAATATTTGCTTTTGTGTGCCTTACTTGCAGACAGCCCCAATGTATATGTTTACTTGTCTAACATTTCTGTTTTTAATAATTATAATATTGGAATATAAAACTGGTATGCCATGTGGTATGAAAAATACCATGGGGACAGAACTCTTTGAGATAGCATTACATCTTGTAAGAATAAGAAACAAAACAGTTTTGAACAAAACTAATCTTAAGTAAATTTTTGGTGACATATGAAATTATATTTTCAGATTTTTGGATACCTTCTAGTGAGTCAGCTATTTTTATTTTATTTAAGTAAGTGTATTCCACGTGCCCTGCAACTAAATCAGCAGTTCAGAAAGCTTAGAACCAACTACTGATTTATCTACAAAGGCAGAATGATCCAGTGCTGACTTTATTATAATTTTGTTAGTGGTTTGGTCAGTTGATGCCAGAACCAGAATCTACTCTGGAAATAGTTTTACCCTGGAAATAGTTTCATTTTCAGAATTTCCCATGTGAGGCTAAAATAGAGCCATTAAAACTAAGATGATGGGAAGCTAAGAGCTGTTTATGCCTTCTGTGTTAAGAATGTATGATGTGAAAGTGAAGCTGTAGTGTCTCCGGAGTCATGTCACAAGTCATTGATTTGACTGTAAATCCTGTAAACACATTTGGGCAGTAATCTGTAGCCTAGTCCTGTGACCTTTACAAGTTTTAGAGCTGGACCCCAGCCTGCAAATTTTATGTATAGAGTTGTTTTGAAGGTGTTACAGCACTTAGTAGACTGAAGTGGCATGCAGTGTTCCTGCCCATTAGAAATACTTTTGATCATTAGCCAAACATCTCTTATCCTTTTTTTTTTTTTTTTTTTTTTTTTTGGAGACAGAGTTTTGCTCTGTCGCCTAGGCTGGCATGCGGTGGTGTGATCTCAGCTCACTGCAAACTCCGCCTCTGGGTTCAAGCAGTTCTCTCCCGAGTAGCTGGAATGATTAGGGGCGCCTGCCACCATGCCTGGCTAATTTTTTATATTTTTGGTAGAGACAGGGTTTCACCATCTTGGCCAGGTTGGTCTTGAACTCCTGACCTCAGGTGATCCACCTGCGTCGGCCTCTCAAAGTGCAGGGATTACATGCGTGAGCCACCACGCCTGGCCTCTTGCCCTTTTTAATATAGATTAATGAGTATTAGTTTTGTGTTCTTTCTTTTCATTACTTTACTTCTAAATATACTTTCATATTAGATAATGTGGTCTTTGTATGAAATAGTTTTTAATGTATACGTACCAAAGAGGAGTATGGTTTCATGGTTTGAGTTCTAACTTCAATTCTGTAAAAAATAACTAACTTGGAAATGTTATGTCTGCTAACACATGATAATGTTCTCATTCTTTTCCTTTTTTAGAAACGTTAAAGGAAATTGATGATGTCTATGAAAAATATAAGAAAGAAGATGATTTAAACCAAAAGAAGCGTCTACAGCAGCTTCTCCAGAGAGCACTAATTAATAGTCAAGAATTGGGAGATGAAAAAATCCAGATTGTTACACAAATGCTCGAATTGGTAGAAAATCGGGCAAGACAAATGGAGTTACATTCACAGTGTTTCCAAGATCCTGCTGAAAGTGAACGGGCCTCAGATAAAGCAAAGATGGATTCTAGCCAACCAGAAAGATCTTCAAGAAGACCCCGCAGACAGCGGACCAGTGAAAGCCGTGATTTATGTCATATGGCAAATGGGATCGAAGACTGTGATGATCAGCCACCTAAAGAAAAGAAATCCAAGTCAGCAAAGAAGAAGAAACGCTCCAAGGCCAAGCAGGAAAGGGAAGCTTCACCTGTTGAGTTTGCAATAGATCCTAACGAACCTACATACTGCTTATGCAACCAAGTGTCTTATGGGGAGATGATAGGATGTGACAATGAACAGTGTCCAATTGAATGGTTTCACTTTTCATGCGTTTCACTCACCTATAAACCAAAGGGGAAATGGTATTGCCCAAAGTGCAGGGGAGACAATGAGAAAACCATGGACAAAAGTACTGAAAAGACAAAAAAGGATAGAAGGTCGAGGTAGTAAAGGCCATCCACATTTTAAAGGGTTGTTTGTCTTTTATATAATTCGTTTACTTTCAGAAAATGTTTTAGGGTAAATGCATAAGACTATGCAATAATTTTTAATCATTAGTATTAATGGTGTATTAAAAGTTGTTGTACTTTGTCTGTGACCTTAATTTTCTGCACTGCATTACCAAATATTTCCAACCAGGTAGTCTTCAGATCACCTGATGAAACGAGCAGGGAGCAGGAAGAGGGTGGCGTAAACAAACATTTCACAAACCATGCTTATTTCATTTTCACTTAAAACTGCAATGCTCTTTTTTGGGTAAACACAAAAGTGTCACTAGCATTTTAGTTATACATGTTTAAACAATTTGAGCTATAGTGGGATTTCTCTGTAAGCATCACATGATCTTGGGTACTTTAAAATACAGACACTATGCCATTTGAGCTGCTTTTTCCCTAGCCCCGTTTATACCTTCGCTTGTTCATCTCTAGTCTTCCAGGGGTTTGAGGAGCTGGAGATAAGAGTAATTTGGGATTCCATGTGGAATAATGTGCTCTTATGAGAGTACTTGCTGCTGTCTTTTCCTCAGTAGCATTTTGATACACTGTCAGCCCATTTGTTAATGCCTTGCTGCTGCTGCGTAGATATACTTAATCTAGTGCTTAATAAGGGAGTCGTTTTGTGTTTTGTTTTAATTGGGACAGGTAAGAGTAGTTAGGATACCAGGCCGAGGCAGGCGGATCACAAGGTCAAGAGATGGAGACAATTCTGGCCAACACGGTGAAACCTCGTCTCTAATAAAAAATACAAAAATTAGCTGGGCGTGGTGGCGCTCGCCTGTAGTCCCAGCTACTCAGGAGCCTGAGGCAGGAGAATTGCTTGAACCCAGGAGGCAGAGGTTGCAGTGAGCCAAGATCCCGCCACTGCACTCCAGCCTGGGCAACAGCGAGACTCCGTCCCCCCCCCGCCCCCCCCCCCAAAAAAAAGTAGGATACCAAAAATATAGCGACTGGCTTACACTGGCAAACTTTGGGTTGTGTAGTATCATGGCTCAAGGTTGAACAATTAAAAATGCATCTTTAATAGTATTTTCCATGTGACCCGCTGCCAGGGTGCCTAGCCATAGGCCCTATCAGTGGAAAAGGGCATATAGTAGTCTTTACATATAGCCTTTATGTCAGAGAGTCGTTTTAAATGGTTTTGCTAGTGGTTATTGTCATTTCTGTCCCAATCAGTGACTATACATTATTTCAAATAATAGTGTATTTACCTTCTTAACTTCTGGTATTGGTGCTGTTTGATGTTTTCACATTTAACTTACTTCATCATCATAATGCAATTAATGTATTTGTAAGTTGAATTTTCCAAGATTCTGATATTTGAAGGGTGCGCATCTTGATGGATATATGTCCATATGTTTAGAGGTTTTGGTTTTGGGAGCAGCAGATTGACTAGTTCTTTAAATCTGTGTGTAACGTATGTTTTATTCCTCATTTCTTCGTGATCTGATGATCTTGATTCTTGTTGATTAACATGAAAAACCCCTGCTTGTTTTGGAAAAAAAAAAAAAAAAAGCTTTTTTTTGTCTTCTAGCTCTCCTGTGTGACTTTTAGGCACGTCATTTCACCTCGTCTGGGTATCAGGTCATTACCTGTAAAATGAGTTGGCTTAAATATTTCCAAGATTCCTTGGAAATTTCTAGTATTTGCACTATAGTAAGGATTTGAATAATGACATGACTTCTCTTTCATTCATTTTGTCCTTCATTCTGAGGTATAAAGATAGTTTAAAGGTGAGTTTGGAGATGGGTAAATGTGCAATATTTGTTAGCTACTGTCCTGATTTGGATTCATGACTGGAGCTAGTTGATTCTGTTACCTTTTGAGTGAGAAATGTTAGACAGCATGATTAAGAATTTAGAAAATCCATTCTCATCATAATAACTTAGCTGAGTTGTAAGGAAATCCTTTTGAGAATATGGCATTTTGTTTTAGTGATTACAACCTTATTACCAGAATGGAGCTTTTTACTTGACACCATTAAAAATACCAGTATGGACAAAATCCCCAAAGCCTTCAGATGCGACTTACATAGAAGTCACCACTTTTTCATGCATAGATCTGCCTGAGCAGATGGGATAAAAGAATAAACTTCCTAATAGAAATGCCCAAGTTTGGATTAGACTTGACGGGAAAGCGAACCTGGAAAACCCTGGAAGGTGTGCTCCCTTTAAGACCTAATGTCTGAAACAGTTTTATGAATTTTTTTGTTTTGTTTTCTATGCATCTTGGAAATAGAAGTCTTAAGCATGCATAGCATTAGGACCGGAATTTCTTTTGTTGTTGAGTATACTGGATCTCATATCATGGTTACCAACTCATACTGTATATACCAGTGGTTCTCAAACTTAACATTAGAATTACCTGGGAGTTTCAACAAATACTGATATCTGTGCCCCACCCTCAGCAATTGTGATCTAATTCATTTGGAATGTAGCTTAAACATTAGAATTTTTTAAAGATTCCCATTCTAATATATAGAAATGTTTTGGAACCACTGCCACATTTCACAGTTTTCAACTTACTGAAAGCTGCTGTGGATTATCTACATCCAGATTTATACAAATCTGAAGCATATATAGATGCTTATACACACATGAGAGTATCCCCTGCCCCCAGTGGCTCCACCACCAGTGCTTGAATACTCAACATCTGAGTGCTTCTTAATGTGCCAGGCACCGTTTTAAGCAGTTGTGGTGTAAAGAAGAAAATATCCCTGCTTATGGACAATACATTCTAGTGGAAGAGTCAGATACATATAATGTTAGGTAAATTGCTAAAAGGGAAGGAAAACCGAGTAAAGGGTTGGAAATGAACGGCAGAGGGGTGGTGAGTCTTTTATTTATGGTAATTAAAAAAGGCGTCTTCAGGAAGTAATCCTTAGAGCTAAGAGCAGAAATCAGGCAGGCAAAGATTTGCGGGAGCGAAGAGGGAACGAACTTGGCAGTTTGACTGAAGCAGAGCATTAGGGCACAGTGTACAAGGGGCTAGGAACTTGGGGCCCTTGGAAGCCATGGTAGGATATTTGGGAAGCCATTGAGGGGTTTTGAGCCATGGTCTGACATATTTAAAGGTCACTCTGGATACTGTGTATACAACATTATAGGGAACCTGGGTGAAAATAGGGAGATTTAGCAGAAGCAACTCAGAAGATGTCATAGCAACTCAGAAGTCTTCACATCGAGTGCTGGTGGCTTAGCCTAGGGTGGTAGCAGCAGCAGTAGTGTCTAGTGGTAGGACTCTGTACTAAAGGTACAGCCAACAGAACTTTGGCCCAGGGATTGGAAGGTAAAGAGATGACAAGGGTGACTCGGGTTTTTGACCTGAAGGGAAAAAAATAAATAACAATTTATGTTTTGCACTTAGGTTTGAGATGCCTAATAGATTCCTAGTAGAATCCAGCATGGAACCCCGCATAGGACCGTTGGGGTAACAGGAGGTAAACATTTTGGAGAGTCATCTCTATGGTGTTTGAAGCCATGTGACTGAAATTACTCAGGAAATTAGAGCTTCTCAAATGTTAATAAGCATGTTTGCTTAAAATACAGATTCTGCTTCAGGACATCTGACGTGGGGCCCGAGGGTCTGCATTTCTAGCAAACTTCTTAGTGAGGCTGATGCTGCTGGGCCAGGGCCCACATTTTGAGTTAGCAACCAAGTAGATCAGGAGGAGAGATGGTCAGCCCTGTGTCACTCCCATATAAAATGGGGAGGAGCCAGCAAAGGAACCTGAGAACACTCGGTGACGTGAAACTGTTTCAAGAAGGGAGTCATCTGCTCATTCAGGTGCTATTGAAGGAAGGTGAACACTGAGAACTGTTAGACTGGGGGGATTGTTGTGGTTTAACAAACCGCAAGTCTGGGGGCTGGACTGTGAGCAGAAGGGGACTGAAATCGAGATGGCAACTGTAGACAAGCCTTGCAAAGGGGAACAGAGGTGGGTTATAATTGAGGCAGAGGTGAGCTAAGTAAGGGAGGACTTGAGCTTTTCAGGAAATAGTATGGCATGATGATTATAGGCTGATGGAATTCCATTAGGAGGGGACAAGTGAAGGCTGTTGATGGGAAAACTGAATAGGCAAGATGGAGTGGGATGCAGGACTCAGGAGAGGCTGGTCTCAGTAGGCAGAAGGGACAGTGCATTGTCCCTGTCCACAGGGAGGGCAGCACTTTTATTCACTTACTCAAGTATTTATTGTGCACCTATTATTTGCAAGGCATTGTTTGTACTGAGGGTAAAGCAGTGGCCAAAACGAGACAATCTGTCACCTTGTGGAGCTTAGATTCTGGAGTGAATGGGGCATATGTGCAGGTAGGTTGCTAAATTCGTCATTGGGAAAATGATAGCTTCCACTTTCCTAGCTGAGGAGGTGATGGGGAAGGGAGTTGGAAGTCTGTAGGAATGAGAGGTGTGGAGCATCACCTGGGAGAGTAGGAAAGTGAATGACCCCAGAATGCCAGGACTGTGGCCAAGCTGCAGGTTCGGGTCATAACTTCACATGAGCAGACTACTCATTTTGTTGCCTGGATGCGGGCATGAAAAAAAAAACACACAAAATAACAGAAAATTTCAAAATCTCTACAGTACGCCAGAAAAATTGCATCTCCCCAATCCTTTTCATGTACCTCTTAGGGGGCTTCCTCTGGGGTTCTGTCCTCATTCCCCCTTCTGAAATGGAAGGAGCAAATTTTCAAGGAGCAGTTCATGTAAATAAGCTAGACGGCTCTTCGGCGCTTTCTGAATCAAGTACTTAGTAGTTTTACATTGTTCAAAATATGTTTTAAGTGAAGTTAGTTATTTTGGGACTTCCTTTACTGTATTGCCTAAACTGTACATCAATTAGAGAAACCACAGCTGCTTCATCGTTTCCTATTTCAATGAGAGGGAAGTGGTCTGGACCAAGATTCCAGAGGCGTGGACTCAGCCTGTGATCCTGGACAGGTCACTCATCCTCTTTGGCATGTAGTTTGTTCAGCTGGAAAATGACTAATTTAATATAGGGTTACCTAAAAGTGTGGCTGTTATTCATGTCTTAACATTAGTCTGAGGAAAGGGGTCTCCTGGTCACAAACTTATTAACTGGGTAGTTAATA